GAATGTTGCCTACTTTCACAGTTGGTAACGCAAATTGAGATTTGTGTAAATGCTTGGGATAAAGTGACTAAGATGACAATAACCAATTGTTGGGAACACGCTGGGTTTCGCAATTGCTTTGAAGACTGTGACGAAATTATTGATCCTCGTTATGACTGGGAATTTGAAGGAGAAAATATACCCGCTTCAATGACGTATGAAGAGTATAACAACGACACGAATACTTTGTTAAAAATAAACGAAAAAGAAGTTGAAGATATCAAAGAAAATATTGAGACGCTTATTGTCCAAAAAGAGCAAATAGATAAAACAATTTTTGAATTACAAAAAAGATTACATAATATTGAACCTGAAAATGAAGACATTCCTGTAAATGTTAATGAACGGAATGAATCGTAGTTGTCAAGGAAAGTATTCTTTTTGAAAGAATGCAAATACATTCATTGTATTATTTCTCAATAAAATTTACTTGTTTATCTATTTTTATTATAAATTTATTATTTTGTTTATTTTAATAAAAATGTTTTATTAAAAATTTAATAAAACATGGTTTTTATATTATTTTATTTGACTTTTTAACTTAGTGACAAATTAATCCAATTATTACCATTTTAAGTTTTTATAATGAAATAACCAACAAAAAGCAAACACATAAATATCTTTTTTTTATTTTTTTTATCTATTATTCGATATAAGGGCTTCCTCTTATTTTTCTCTCTTATATCGAATAAATCCTTATATCAAATAACCCTTATATCGAATAATGACTGTATGTTCAATTTCATAATTTAAATTTCATCAAAAATAAAATTAAGAAACTTATCAACCTTTTGATTTTTTTATTGTTTTTTATTTTTAAAGTTATTTTTTAACTTACAAATATGAGAATAAAATGTTTCAATTCTCTTCAAATAGAGGTTGAAAAAATAAAATTTTGAATGAAAATATGTATAAAAACAATTCATTTTCAGTGTTTTTATTCATTGTTTAAATACAAGTAAAATACCATTTATATTTGTTTATTTAATTTGTTGACAAATTCGCAAAATACAAGAAATAAACAACAGACAGAGAAAAAAAGAGACATATCTAATTAAAAATAGTATTAATAAACTATTAAATAAAGATATAAATAGGAATATGCCATTTTTAGATACAAAGAAAATAAAGATCCATCCTCTTGGTATTTATACACCAACATTATTAGTTATTTCATTCATTTAAATGGGCTGCTCAACACTCTCATTGATTATCATTGCGATATTCCTCCCACCACTCGCTGTTCTTCTGAAGAAGGGATGTGGGTGCGACTTTCTCATCAATTTACTTTTGACTATCATCTTGTACCTACCAGGTCTTATTCACGCCATCATTGTGATTACATAAGTGACTTTTCATTAGTTTATTGTGTTTATTGGAAACTTTCGAAAAGGATTGTTTTAATGAATTGTTTTATCAAGTAATTTAATAAACAATACCATTGGAATTGTTCATTACTGATGGTACAGGTTATCTCTTGATACTTTTAATTGACACCATAAAAGCTTATCAAACTCTAGAGTTATTGCTCGTTAAAACTTTAATTATTTTAAATTCCTCAAAATGCTGGCTCAAAAACAATTGAAATGTTCTCTCTAAATTTTACACAAAAAATAGTGTACATATTAATAACTCAAAGACCGTGTTTACTTAAGTTGTATGACAGTTATCCTTTCTGGTGTGAAGTGGTGACTCCCACAAAGCACGTTGTCTGGCGTGTCTGCTGTTCTGTTTGAATAGCAAGCACTCCCACTTTCTCCCTTCTTGAACACGTAAATTGAGGCATCGCAGAGATGGAAAAGTCTGTGGTGTGCATCGTCAAAACAATTAAACGCAAACTGAGAGTATTTTGGAAGAATGGTAAACTTCTGCATCCCATTAATTCTCCCATTTGACTTCAAAGTAAACGAAAATGCCTCTTTGTCGCAAATGCACTGTCCAGCCTTCGATATTTTGCTGAAAATAACTCCACCAAATTTGTTTTTGTTTGTATCTTCGACCACAAACAAAAGCTTCTCTTTGCCAAACACTTTATCCTTAAAGTCGCTCTCGCCGACACTCCATTGATTGTTTCTACTGTCGAAAATGACATTTGTGACTTTCATATTTGTCCATTCCTCAATCTGTTTCACTTCTTCGTAATCGAGTGAGTTGTGTGAAAACGGCACTACCCGCATTTTGCCGATCAGTATCTTTTGTTCCTTGTTAAATGTTAAGTCGACCTTTTGGATTTGTTTTTCAAGATAATTTTTTCTTTGTTCCATCTTTTGCCTCTGCAAATCGACCATCGTCTCCAATAGAAAGTTGTACTCGATATCCGCGTTGTCGGATTTCTTCAGTTCCTCCGTTATCATCGCCGCACCTTTCGTCATATAAAGTTTCAAATCGCACAAAATTGTCTTGAACTGATCTCTCTTTGCCAAGTTGTTGTCGAAATCGTTTAAAAGGTTTACAGCCTTTGAGATTCTTTCTTCGACAGGCACCTCTTCATTATCGATGACAGAGTAGTCCTTTCTTAACACAAAAAACGAAGACAGCACCACTTTCGCCTTTTGGCATGTCAGAATGATTTCTTCGAGAAACTCTTCCATCCACTCTGACTTCGTCCTAATTTCCGCCTTTTAATGTTCTTTCGTTCCGCACCTCTCAACAGACATAATAAATGAGAACAATAGTTTTATAAAAATTCTTAATTATTAAATTAATTAATTTAGTAATTCATCAAAGTTAGAATTGTTATTATTATTACTGTTAATAGTATTTTTTTAAAAAAAAAAATAGTTTGTTATATTTATTATATAAATACTATACCACAAACCATGTAAAATGGAAATGATATTCAAATTAAATTAGAACAAGAATAACGCAAAGAACATGATGGTTATCATCTCCAATATAGCGCCATCACTGTCATTGTTATTAGTTGAATCTGGTTTACTCGAAGTTTCAGAGTGTTCTGATGATTTTTCAGAAGAAGAAGTTTGTGAAGATGTCTGTGAAGAAGCTTCAGACGACGCTTGTGAAGATTGAGTGGATGAACTATCTGAAGAGGAAGTTGAAGATTCCGACGATTGGGAAGATTGGCTTGTTGAACTTTCAGAAGAAGATGAGGAGTCAACGGGTACATCTTCTTTTGATTTGATAACAATCACGTTATTAACATTTTCAGCGTCGTACTTACAAGTCTTAACCAAGTCAAGTGCCAATTTATTTTCATTGACCATTAAAGAAGTTTGCATAGTACTCTCAATAATTTTATCGATACCATTTTCTTTCACTTTAATGTCTTTTAAAGCAAAGACTGTGTTACCATAAGCAACTTTGAAAAAACCATAAGTGTTGAAATTGGTAATAGGGGTGTCTGAGAAATAAGTCACTTCAAATTCTTGTGGTTCTGCGGTGGTCTGACCCAATTCAATGAATGGATAAGCATAAGATTGTGTTGTTTCAGTTGTGTAAAGTTCAATTTTTATTGGTTTAGATAAGACGTTAAACGATCTGTTTCTGGTATTTAATTTGGTTCCAATAGTTTTAGACCCATGAATGTGGTACTCGGCCGTTATATCAACGTCTGGAGTGGACGGGACTAAGTTGATGTATCTCTCGTTATTTGTTTCATCATAGATGATTCTAAGAGGACTCACATCAAAGTTGTTAAGACTGAAATCTTTGAAAGTTGCATTAATTGCCATATCATCAGTAAATGCTATTGTATATTCTCCATCCACTAAACAAATCATCCCTGCAGTGTTCCCATCAGTCACTTCTTTTTGGACAAATTCATTTCCAGAAAGTGAAAGACACTTTTCTGAAGAAGCAATGGATATGAGAAGAAGTGTAAACAACATTGGTCTGTTAGGTAGATCAAATGTAACCTTTAAATACCTTTGATATCGTGTTTTGAAAAAATTTGAACAAACGAATTTCGGTCATATTTTTAGAAAGTAAAGGTCATCCTCTATTTTTTTCATGTTGGGATTATTTTGTTCAATAAATTCACAACACCGATTTAAAAATTCGTTGAGTGGATCAGTTTTTTAAAGGGGAAATAATTATGTCCCAATAATTCAAAAGTTTAAATTTAACATAAAACAATTTTTATTTTTCTATCATTTTTATAATAATGATATAGTATTTTTTTCTTCAAAAAAAAGAATTTTTGAATAATAAATCTATTATTATAACAACAATACAATTTATAGTATATTTTAGGTGTTTTTTTTAAATAAAAAATCGAATAACAAAAATACAGATTATTAGATTGTTTTTAAAACTTATTTGTTTTTTTGGGGTTAAAATTGATTAAATGGTTAAATTAACAATTTTTTGATTATTATTATTACGAAAAATGAACCAAAAATGTAGTCGATGAATAACACCGTTTGATTGGGAAAAGATACACAAAAATGACTAAAAAAACCAAAGTTTTGGTCTTTATTGACGATGATATTATAATAATAAAAACAACTAGAATAATATAGTTGTTTTTTTTTAAGATTTAAGTACAAAAATGAATTATTTATTTTGAGAGTCGGTTTTAGAATATTGTTGTCGAAAAACAATTGTTTTCTTTATAAAATGTGTCAAATTAATAAACTTAAAAGTCGGGTTAAAACTGTAAGGTAAGAATGAACCATATTTTAAGTTTATTTATTAAAACAAATAAACTTATTACTTATATATTTTTTTTAGATTTCAAAAAATTTGCAATGCTCTTTACAAATTTTCATTAACTTTTTTTTATTGAAACAGTTTAAAAATTTGGAGATAAGTTTAAAGTTAAGGGATTAATGCAATGATCCCGTTTTATCACAAAGTCGAATAGTAATATAGAAAAAACGAAAACATGATTCTAGATGAATTATTTTTCTTTGTACATTGATTGTAAACGTTATTATTTTTGAATAACTTAACATTTTTTATAACAAATAGCTTGTTAACTTTTTAATTACTTTAATTAATGATATACTATAATTAAGATACAATATAAATATTAATTTAATTATAATAAAAATATAATTGTTAAATATTACAATAAAAAAACCATATTATATTTATATCACCAAAAACTTATTTGTAAATTGTAATTATAATAATGGCTATTAACTCACCTCTCACTTTTAAAACTCACTTGTCAAATAATGACTCACTACTTCGCTTTTTGACTCACTTTTATAAAAGTAACTCACTTAAAAAATAATTTACTATTTTAATGGTTTTTTAAATAATAAAATAAAATTTCTTCAAAATAATAAAATATAGTTTTAATTTAAATTACTATATAAGTATCCACTCAATCAAAAACTTGACCATTTGGGCAAATTTGCCATTAATCAAAATAATTCATATCTGGATTGTGATGAAAAAACAAAAATAAATAACAAAATAAATAACATTTTGACTTACTTAAATTATTTTTGTTATTGAATTAAAGTTTACATAAATGAAAAAAAATATAAACAAATCGATTAATCGATTTAAAAAAATACTCTTTGCGTTCAATAATTATATCGTTGTCAACACGAAAGATATCGCCATACAAATTCAACAAAGTGAATGTGTTGTTACACATTTGAATTTATTATATTACAATTTTAAAATTTGTATCATTTTTGTTTTGAACAATCAATAAAAAATACAATAAATAATAAATGAGTTATTTAACCAAAGATATTTGAATTAAACGAACAATATTTTAAAGTAAAAACATTGAATAATATAAAACCAAAATGATAAAAATGTTTTTCGTCATCAAGAACAATTACATACGTTTGTCATAACCCAAACAACTGGTTTAATTGTTTATTAATTACAACAATACATACAATAAAACTACGAATAACAAAGACACATTATCAATAAAGTACACTTTAACTACAAACACAACTTAATATATAAAAATTTAATCATGTAAAATGTTAAGATGTCGGAATAATAACTTATTAGAGTATATGATGAACACGACATTAAACAGCTGAGTAATGTTTATAACCAAAATATCATGTAAATTTTAACAACAACACAAACAATGAAAATAATTAATTAGGTTGTATTGATTAATTTCTATGATGAAATTATTTTAATTACGTTAATTATTAAAAATGTGATTTAAAAAATGAAGTCGATTAACATATGTATAGTTTTACACATTTAAAGTTGTCTCTAAGTTGTATACCTTTTAATTAATTGAAAAAACAAAGTTAGTGCATTACAAAACATTTGAATGAGTAAATAAAGATAAACATTTGTGTTAATTTTTTTATTGATATTTTTTTGATAAAATATAAAGAAATAAATAATTTAATTTCTGATTGGAGCTTATGTTTAATAATTGTGACATTTCGTTTGTTCAATGAAAAATCTTTAAGAATTTGTCGTAGTTTATTACTTTTTTTAATTTTAGTCATTGCGTCGTTATTCACAAATATAATACAGCAACTTATGTTAACAATTATAGACAAGTGTTATTTATTGTTTTATTTTTACTTAATTATCATAATATTTTT